TGGAGCCCTGCAAGCGTTCCCACTACAAGAAAAGATCACCCCCACTGCAGTCCTCCAATTCCACAGGGGAGTAGGGCCTTGCAGCCACAGCATAACTGCACCCTATCCCCTCCTTGCACCCCTATGCCTCCCTGGTGGAACCAAAGGTGTATAAGGACAAGCGTCAGAGATGCTGTGACTGTAAGGCTGCTGGGTTTGGGCAGCCTTGCTGCTGTGGGAAAATTGTCCTTGCATCCTGCATCTCTCCAGCTCCACCAGGAGGAATATGGGAGGCAGGAGACAGATGTGCCATGGCTACAAGAGATTCCTATAGACTGAAAAGCTTCGTTCCCAGCCTCTGGCCTTTAAATGCCTCCCCCGCTGCAAAACCCCAGTGGCCAAGAAAGCTATACCCACTTCAGTTCATGGCCCCATGGGATTTAAGTGCCACCCACCTGGGTTTAAAAGCTAGTTAAAAAGGCTGGAAAGCCAGGACACAGGGTTGGCAAAAGCTGTCTCTGGCCCTACTTCCCCATGCCTCAGGTTTTAAATAGTCCTGTGTGAGGCCCATCTTGGCTGCACACGAAGCCCTTTAAAACCCAGGGGGTGCCTACTGATAGCCTGCCCCTTCCCAGGTATGGTAGAGGACAGCCTTTAAAGTAGTGGGCTCCCCTTAAGGCAAAGATGGCCAAGAGAGCAGCCCTGTGGTGTCCCCTGGCTGGAAAGCTCGCCCATATAGCTCTTCAGCCAGGGGCTGGAACTTGTGTACTCTCTATCTCCCAGATGAATTTTCTACTAGTAAGAATTTCTGAGAAATTATTAGAAGACATGACTATTTGTAAATGGCCAAAGTTAGTTCTATCCATAGCCAATATAATCACATACACGTAACTTGACAGGTGTTCCTGAGGGAAAACCAGGCCCCAAGTTATGCATTTAGTACTGTAAACTGCAACTGCAAATCATTCTTATCTCTTACAGACATCCCATAGTTCAGGTCTAGGTCCTGTGAAAAAGGTCTCTTATACTTATGATCTTCCTTAATCCTAGCTTGCTTCATTCTAGAAATGTATGTCAGATGTATATTCAGGCTACGTGTACACATTCAAATGTGGGAGAATTCTCCCAGGTTTGTTCTCCTGGTAGAAATTCTTACCCAGAAAGGCCTTGAAGAATGAAGAGCTTGCAATGCTGACAGTGTGTAGCAAGGGGAGGACTTGTGCACACATCCCAGCATGCTCTGCAGGCTTCCTTAGTCAGATGGGAGCAGGGCATAGGGCAGCCCTGATTGGCGGATCCAGACTGCCCATGGTCAGCCTGCATTTCCCTGCAGCACAATGTGGGGACTGTGAACAGGGTGTGTTCTGCTCCCTGCTGAAGCAGCAGAGTCCAGCAAACACCGGTCTCACAGGGTGGGGGAGGGCAGATGCTGGAGGACTATATTCTCTTTTGAGAGAAGCTACAGCATGTACAGACCTTTGCTCTCCCAGAAAAAACAATCCTAGGGGTGATTCAACCCTGGTCATTCCCAAGTTCTCTCTCTCTTGGAGCAGCCATTTTTTTCCTGAGAGAAAAAGCCTGAACATCTGTATGCTCACTTCTCCTGGGAGAGTGGTGACTATCTCAAGGAGAAACTGAATGTCTATGAGGCTTCAATTTCTACTGGCCGAAAATAGTTCTGACAGCATTATTCTATTTAAACTATTGTATCCAAGTCCTTTAGGTTAATACAAAGGATGATACAACACCTTTTGCTTTTTTCAAAATCTTGATTTCTAAAACTAAAGGTTTAAACATCAAAACTAAGGCATTCTTCTTCCTCCTGAGAAAAGAAAGTATCTTTAAAGTAACTCTGAATGACGTGGGCAAGTAGCACTCTCAAGCCAAATAGGTCTTCTAAAATAATGCAGTCTATGGCCTAACTAGGGGCTTAAGCTTCTCACCACTCAACGTAAGAGTTTTACTTTACAATTACAGGTTGTATTCCAAAATATGAATCAGCATTAAACTGAGACTCAAGCCCAAGTCTCCTACTATGAAGCAAACTGTTTCTGACTATTTTATCAATACAAATGCAGATTTGCTTTTCCACATAAAGGTTAGAGAACTACCAAATGAAACGAAAATAGAAAATAACGGTACTCTTGCTACAAGTAACAGAATTAAATATTACAGTTGGCTCATTTAATATTACACAAAAATACCTTCCAAGTCCAGAAGGTCTGGAGAATCTGGCTTTGAATCTGTAGGATCTATACTCTGAAGTACCTGAAGTGCTTTATCCATCTTATCCTGAAAAGCAGACAGGAAATAAGAAATAATTCTTAAAGCATAGCACAGAGTACTTCATTTTCAAATGAAAAAAGGAAGGCTGTTTGTTAGTAAACAATTTTTTCTCCATCATGTATTTTCAGTCAGTAGAGAAAGAATATTTGCATAAAACTTATATAATATACCCCATGATTTGCACTCATTAAAAATGACTGCATACCTCATCTATATAAACTGGTTCAGGTTCTGCTTTCTTAATTTCTTCTGTTGTATCTTCAGTAACAGAGGTTTTATCCACAGCCGCTAAATGAAGACAAAAGTGTCACTTTGTTTTCTGCAGCTTTGTTACTATCTTAATCTAAAATACATTGTTCTAGTCTAAAAAAAATACTACATAGTTTATACCAGTGGTTTTCAACCTCATTACACTCAAGGTACCCCTCAGAAAATGCCAGCTCTTACTTTCACAATAATAAAGCAATCTTTCTGTCGCAAAGAACTCGAAAAAACTACAACAGATTGGAACATTTCTGGCACTATGGACTCCTATTCAAAATCTCTGGGTTTATCTTGTGAATTCTGTGCCAGTATTTGCACACTGAATAGTTGCACCCTGGTTGAGAATCATTTGGTACATACAAACTGTATTTAAATACTGCTTGCTATCAAATTTTCAGGTCAAGGAGCATTTAGGAAAGCTGAACACTTCCTACGAAGTGATGCTTTCAGTATTTGAAGAGGGAACAACGCATTATATAACAAACTTAAAATGATCTGTCTGAGATTAAGGCATTAAGATTAAGTCCAGAGTTCCAGGAACCAAAGTAAAAAACTATTACCAGGGGCCCAAGCAAGGGAAATACTCTATTTTTCTATTCCAGTATCTCATACAAAACTTACATTTCCACAACACCATTTTTTTTGTAGAATTTAAAATGTTAACATTAACCTCAATCAGAAGTGTAAAGAAAACAAAATCAGTAACAAAAGCAAGAACTGACCAAACTATAACTACATCCAAGTTAAATTAGCATAACAGCTTTCAAGCTATAACCAACACGTTAGGGTTGCTGGTTGTAGCTGTGTTAGTCTAAGAACATAAGGCAGACAAAAGATATCACACATCTACCTAAACAACCTTATTAGACCAACTAAGTAGCTGGAAAAAAAAATGTTCTTTGCAAGATTTTGGGCACAAACACCCTTCTTCAGGCATAAGGAGAGTCTGTTGGTGTTTGTGTTTCTATTTTACCCAGGAGAGTACACAAACACCAACAAACTCTCTTTATGCCTGAAGAAGGGTGTTTGTGCCCAAAAGCTTAAAAAAAACCCCAAACAAACAAAAAAAAAATTCCAACTATTTAGTTGGTCTAATAAAAGTTATCACATCTACCCACATAACCTTGTCAAGCTATAATCAAAGCATTTTAGGTGCTAGGTTCCTAATTCAGATATAGGTTTGTTTTTCACAAGAAATTTTCTGTTATAGAAATGAAGGTGATTTAACAGAACAAGTCAAGGATGAAAGTCCTATCTCCACAGAGCTCAGTAGAAGTTCCACTGACTTCAGTGGAATTAGGATTTCATTCTGTTGGTTTTTTTCCTGCCTTAGGGCACAACCCTGGGCAAATCACACTGCTGCTGGTGACTATACATGCCCCTCTCTCTGAAGTAGTGCTTCTTTTTACTACATAACTCACCTGTTTCAGGTTCTACGTTTAAGTTAGAGGTTACGAAATTAGATGGGAAAAGTCCTACTCCTCTATGATTTTCACCTTTCCACCAATTGGTATCACTGAGGAATTAAAAACAGTTCTGTTAAAAAAAAAACACTCTTGGTATTTATAAAGTTAGAATCCCAACTAGATTCTATACAGCAGAGGGTTTTTATTCCATCACTCAGTTATTAAGATTAGCAAACTACAGGCAACATTAATGCTGGATTTTATGATTAACACTATTTCTGCAGAACCTCATCAGCAATCCTAGTCCCAAAACTATCCAATTGCTATTACTGGAGTAAGATGTTTTGCTGTAAAGAGGAGAGCATCTCTAGCACTGACACAGGCCACATACAGTGTTACATTTCTACCATGGGAATCTGAGTTCTCTCGGTAAAAACCAGAAACATATAGGTATTCATACAGTTTTTTCTGGAATAGAAGTGGTGATTCTAGGAGAAAAATAACCCATCCACCTGGAAGAAGTTGCTGCACTTCCCCTCTGCTTGACTCCTGGAGACCAGGAGAAGTAAAATAGCAGGGAAAGTCTCCTATTCCTTCCAAAGACTGGGGTCACCTCAACCTGGAAAAGACATGGGGGGCCCCTCCTGTAGTTCAGTAGGACAAGGGAGGAGCAGCTGCCAGCTGTTCCCCACTAGCTCCTCGCACTGGGCAGCACTTTGCAGCGCTGCTTAGTGCTTAACATTACAAATGAACACCTGTATGTGGCCACAGTAATTGACAACTCAGAGGAACTTCGCAGGATCAGACCTAAAGCCTACAATGAAAGGAGACAAATACTGTACTTTGGCTTTCATTTACCATGTGGTAAGAGCATGCACACCAACAGCTGCCACAGAACAGCTGACACACAGTAAAACCCCGCATACCTTTACTTTGCTCACATGTCCATACCCATTCTGTTTTATAGCAGGGTTAAAAAAAAATAACAATCTCTAAATGCACATAACTTACAGACCCAAAATAATCGGATCTAAACCAGGCAAGGAACAACATTTGAATATGGGTAGGCTGTCCGAGCACACCCTCTGCACATGGAATACTTGGTGACTTCAAAGGGAGATCCATGCACAGAATAATAGGACTGAACCTACAGAAAATAAGCTAGGAAAAAGTGCAGTATTTGGCAATTAATTGGAAACTTTCAAGTTTAAAGGATGGCACAAAAGTAGACAGTGTCAGGAATGGATGAAAGAAAAACAGTCAGTAGACAACTAACTAACAAAAAGGAATTTAGATACCCACAGCCAACATACCATGTTAGAAATAAAAGCACCTTATCTGAACATACTGTACCTGTCATCCAAAACAATAATAATTTCTCCACTTTTAAAGGTGAGCTCATTGTCCTCCACAGCTTCGAAGTCATACAGAGCTCGCACCTTCCTTGAGATTTTCTGATTGTTCTGTTGAATTTCTGCAGATGGGTATAAAGATTTAGTTTCCATTTGCTGCTGCTTCTGTTCTTGCAAAGATAATTCAATAGCTACAATTAGGAAAATAAAAAAAGAAGTCTGTACATTTTATCCTTCATGCACAAATGATTTTAGTTTCTGAAGAGAAAAAAAGTAAGAGAAACAAATAAAGTTCTATGGATCTGTTCTTCTACTTTGAACTTAAAATTCCTTATTCTTAGATGTTATTATGTCCCATGAAAGTCCAGGGACTCTGCTCTTCCCTCCAATTTGAGGGTACAGAAGACAAGATATAGGCATGAACAAGTAATTACAGGCAGTCCTCGACTTACAACTTTTCGATTTATGACAAACAGCACTTACAACCTTTATACATTGACACCATGTTATGAGGTTCTGACATGGGTTTCAACTTTACAACACTTGATACAGCTGCATCCAGCTGGTAATTCTGGAAGGGGAGGGAGGGAAGGGGTGTGGGGGGAGGGGCAGATCAACTCCCCCACAGTGAAGGAGGAATTGGGGCTGGGTCAGGGGCAAGCACAGCCCCAGGGGGGGGCGCGGAGATATGGGATGTAGGCGCAGCAAGTCTGGGGGGGCAGCTCCCGCTGCTGCATGACACTGGTCCAGGAGCCACTCATCCGGCAGCTCCTGCCGCTGCTCCCACCACTCGTCCAGAAGGGCACAGGGGGGCACATGCCCCCAGATCTGCACCGGGCAGGCGCGGCTGGAGCTGCATCGCACTGCACTCTGGGCAGGTGTGGCAGTGCTGGGAGCAGGGGCTATGACCTGCCACCACTCGCCTAGCTGGGCAGGGTGTGAGGGCACAGGACGGAGCCGCTGCACTGCCTCCGGACAAGTGGCACGCAGCAGTGGGAACCACACCACCCTGCCCACGCCCCCAGGGCAAGCTGCGCCTTTGTCCCCTGCCCCGCCCCAGCTGGGCAACCGGAAGAAGGCATGGGGAGGATACGTGCCCTCGGATTGGGGGATATGGTGGGGGGTGGGGGAGTTGCAGCCACCTGAAAATTCACCGTAGCCCACTCATAGCCCCTGCTGCCCACCTGGATCGCAGCATGGTACAGCCCCGGCCTCGGCTATCCCGCACAGATCTGGAGGCAAACACCCCCCTCCGACCCTGTGCCCTCCCAGAAGCAGCGGCAGGAGCTCCCAGATAAACAGCATGCGGTGGTGGGAGGCCCCTCCCCACGCCAAGTCCCCCGCTGCACCTTCATCCTGGCCCACCCCCTGCCCCAGCTGTGCAGTGCTTGCCCCAGCCCGTCCCAGCCCCAATCCCTCCTTCACTGTGGGGGTGATGATCTGCCCCCACCTCCCATGCCCCTTCCCTCTCCTCTCCCCTACCACCACAACAGACTTACCAGCTGGATGCAACTGTATCAAGCGTCATAAAGGAACCAATCACCCGTTTTATAACATTGTTCTTGTGGGAAAATTGGTTGTTACAGTGTTTCAACTTAATATAGGGTTTTCAGGCACCAATTGCATTGTACGTCTGAGGACTACCTGTACATACATTTTACTAATGAAAATATTTATTATTTTCTGGATTTCAGACCACTATTTAAGATAGCTTTCATGCCAAGACTAGCAGTGTTACTGATATCATCAGACATCCTGTATAAAAATTCTTAAATGTGACATCCAAATGAAGGTAACTGTACTCAATCTGAGAGGGTATGTTTTAAAAACTAAACTTTTTAAGCAGTGAAATGAGATGAAAGAGACAGCAAAGGGGTCAGAAGAGACTAAATCAAGAGCTGTATAAGGAGAACAGTAGAAATCATCCATGCCACACCAGTGGCTGCAAAATAATGCAATACCTCTTAGCACCACCTCCATCCAAAGCTTGAAACAACCACCACCACCAGCATATATGGCTTCCCTTATCACTTTAAGTTCTTACCATTTTTAATTATACAGTTAAACAACAAAAAGGGTGCCTGACATTTTAAACCACAAAATGTGTGAGAGCACGTATAGAATACTTACAAGTGTTTCTGACCAAGACAGCGATTAACAATTTACCTTTGGCTATATCTTCATCTTCTTTGTTTTTGCTCGATGATGATGCACCATTCTTGGCAACACTTGGAACAGTCTGCAAACATATTGATTATACGTTTCAATGTGGGCCTCTTCATTTAATAAGGAAATGACGCTTTATTTACTTCAAGAAGAGGCAGGAGAATCAAAATGGGGTCTCATTTTATTACTATTCTTCCAACCGTTGCCCTTTATGCCCATCCCCAGATTCTCCCCACCCATCCAAAAAGAGAAGAATAGTTCTGTAGACTCAGATGAAATCAGTCCACCTTTCTCTCAAGGTATCCTTCAACCTCTCCCACTGCAAAGACACTCTCCATGTACAGCAACAGCAAAGGTCACCAGTCGCATTAAGCAGGAGCTGAAGTATAGCTGAGAACTGGACCAAAGGAAGGAGAGCCACTCCCTCCCTCTACCTGTGTGGAGAATGGGGGTGAGGGACAAAGTTGCCTGCTACCTTTAAAAGCTAAAAGGGAACAGAGCAAGCAATCTCTGCAACACCATGAGATACTTTCTTGGAGCTTTCAGACATCAGAACAGGGTAGGGGATCTTGGGATACCAGAAAGACAATGCTCAGTTTTAGACACTAGAAATGATGCTGGTTTTAATCCCCTAAACAAAAGTATTATTTTCCAAATACATAAAAAAGTTAACAAACCTCACAAAGTAAACGGAAATGAGGACATGTCCAGATAAAAATGTAAAATTGCAATCAGTTGACACCACATATATTAGGTTGCCTGGTTTAACAGTGTATGTTCAGTCAAAAAGCTCTACAATGTTAAATCTTTTGCTGTACATCTTTTGCCTCATATTTTTTAACTTCAAGGCCATGTGACAGGGAGAGGGGTCATGCAACACATGGCCCCCCAACCGCCCCAAAGATGAACAACCTTGAATTAGTTAATGAGTGGGGTATTTACCTTTTCCCCATTACTCCCATTCAAACACCTACAAGTGCTTGTGCGAAGACACACAACAGGCAGGGTATTTAAATTCAAGCTACTGCCATCTCAAAAAATCTAAAACACATTACAGCTGGGTCTAGAATGGTCAGACATGTGCTCTCCAGTTCCCATATCGCTAGTATGCAGCACTCCAAAATCCCTGTCTATATTCTGTGTGGAAGCAGGGGAAAGAAAAACAGAAAAACAAACAAACAAACAAAAAAAAACAAAAAAAACCCACAATGAAAAAATTATACTAGTTTCACAGCCTGCGCCTCTAAATATTAACAAAATACCTTATCCGATACATTTGTCAGCATCTTACCCACACGTGCAAAATATAAACACACTGCTAACAATCTAGCATGAACAAAGGTATTCCTGCCAGCTCTCCATCAGGACTGAATCTGTGCATTACCTGAGAACCAGCTGCAGGAAAAGTTATTCCCTCTTCTTTAAGAGATTTAATAGTTGCGGCTATTAAGCTAAATTGAGGATCCTTTTGAAATTCTTCTGACCATTCCACCATTAAAGCTTTAAGCTTTTCACACACTTTTGGATGAGCCTAAAACAAAATAACGGTAAATGTATAAAGATGGATACTTGTACATATAAGAGCAGAAACCAATATACATTTTGTCAATCACACACTTTTAATTAAGAGAGTTAACTACAAACATTCCTACAAGCTTTTAATTCTCTCTCTCAAGCAGGAGCATTTATTTCCCAAAATTGATAATTTGATTAGATCTAGAGCTAACAGTGCAACACTACCATCAGAATCACGGCACTATACCAGCAAAAACAAGATTCAAAAAGATTATCCATCCAACTGAGTAAAGCAAGCAGGGGTTGACAGCCTACGACCTGCTGAGCAAGGGGCGAGGTGGGGGGGGGTCTGCAGCACTTCAGTGTGTGTGTTCGAGGGGAGGCTGGGATATAGTGTCCCAGGGACAACGGGACTAGAGGGAGACCCCGGCCCAGAGCCAGAGGAAATACTCACTTATGCTTCGCAGGAGGTGGGAGCAGTGGCGGCGTGCAGGCCAGGGAACCACCCACGCGGCTCGTTAGCCACGCTTTCATACGACTGGGGCGGAGTGACGTCAGAGAGAGGCGCCGCTCAGCGGAAATAAAACGCGGCCCCAAAGGCAGAGGGGGCGCGCTGCGGGAGGACATGAAGCCCAGGGGGAAGCCCGGGAGTGGAACCGGGCACCCACAAGGGGCCTTTGCCGTGGGCCGATTAGGCTGCAGCAGCGCCGGGAGCAACGGAGGCTGGGAGAGCCACAGCGCCGAGGAAGAGTGGCGAAATTGACGAGGGAGCCGGCAGAAGCTCCGAGGAGGAGCCCAGAGAGAGGGCCAGCTGGAACCACCGGTGAGGTAACGGGGGACGAGCCGGCAGAGGCTCTGAGGAGGAACCCAGAGAGGGAGCCAGTGGGAACTCCGGTGAAGGAACTGGACTAGAGCCGGTGGGAACTCCGGTGAAGGAACCGGACTAGAGCCAGCGGAAACTCCGGTGAGGGAACCGGGATAAAGCCGGCAGGAACTCCAGTGAGGGAACTGGGATAGAGCCGGCGGGAATCCCGGTGAGGGAACCAGGGGAGCCCAGGCAGAGACGCCCAGTCCTCATCCGGGGACAAGGAACAGAAGGTCTGCGACCAAAGGTGGCGTTGGCCGGGGTGTAGGGGAGGTTGGAGCCCCGTGAGAGCCCGCCCAGGGGCGCTTTGGCGCTGGAGGCCGCAGAGAGGGGGAGCCCCCTGCTGCGGACCCAGCTGCGACCCCGGTCAGCAAATTCCGGGGACTCCCCAGCGAGAGCGGGGCAGATCCGGTTAGCCACCCGCGCAAGAGTTGCCCGAGAGCGCCTTTTGGAGCAGAGGCGGGCACATATAGCAATGCATGCAGGGATGGAAATGGCCTCAACTCAGAGTAAAGCTTTATTAAAACACCCTCCCCTCCATACAAAAGCTCCAAAATGCCACTGACTCCTGTTCTACACCGTATTTTCCACTTTGCAGCACAAGAGAATAGAAAATACTTCCTTACGACTACTGGAATCTTATCATTTTATTAGTCCGTTAGGTCCATTTATAGCACAATTTTTAACAGTCCTCCAAAGAAAACTGCCTGACAAAGGCTGAACTTGGATCCTGGGACTACAATGCTGCAATGCAAAAGAGACTCATCCTGATCTCAACAACAGATACAAAAAAGTCACACTCTTGACCACTGTTACCCAGATTGCATGTAACCTTGCAGGTTAGCTACTGATAAGAGAGCCAGAAACAGGTCTACAGCCTGACATTTTATTTGTTTGCACTTCAAAACACGAAAACAAACATTTACCCCAAAGTCTATCTGGCTACCCATGACTGCACTGCATAGATTCTCATCTCTACAGGCTGGGGAGACTCAAGAGGTGGGAAGAGGGTGGCATGCAGATTGCCCACATGTCTTCTTGAATTTGCTGAGTTCTCCAAATTTCCCTCCAGCCTATACCCAATATTTATATTCTACTATTCTAGTAAATGACCTCTGATTGCTTTTATTTAAACATCTTGGTTTCATTGAAACTTTTGAAACTGGACTAAACCAGATCTCTTGCGGACTTGGAAGGTGTCAATTAGTTGGGATTTATATCCTTAGGAGGATTTCTTATCTCCACAACTCCCTGTTGTCACCCTTGCTGTTGCTGGGTGGGCAGGGGGCACCTTGCCAGGGCAGCGCAGGGCTCCCAGCAGCAGCAACAAACTTCCCCGCCTGGCCCCACTCTGCCCTGCCATGGCGGGTTTCGCCCGCTGGAGTGTGGAGGCCCGGGAGAGAGGGCAGCAGGACGGGGAGCCCAAGCCCGCACCTGCCACCCCATGAACAGATCTGGGGGGCACATGCCCCCCCATGCCCTCCCCTAGAGTGCATGCAGTGGTGGGAAGCCAGCACCCTCCTGCCCCCAACAAGCCAACCATGGCCCCATCCTGCTCCCCACCTGGGCCCTAGGGTCACGCATTCTGCCCCAGACCCCCATGCACTGCCCAGCTGGGGAGCAGCCCCTGCCCAACTCCCTCCCTCCTTCCCTAAAGCAGCCTCAGTCTCCTCCAACCTCCCTGCCAGACTTACCTGAGGGAGCTGCTCTGCAAGCTGTCTGGAGGCCATGTACATGTGTGAGCACACACATGCACATGACACCCCCTGCCTGACCACCCTCCTCCTGCTCCCCACAGCCCCTTACAGGCTGGAGCTCTGCCTGCCTGCAGAGAGCTCTTTGCAGAAGTGGACAGTCTGTGTGTTTCTCCGTTAAAATAAGAAATCAGTGTTTTTCTCAGTTGCAAAGGAAAATCTGCGTTTTTTTCCATTTTTCCATAGGAAACGGAAAACCCAGATCCCTACTCATGACTGATATAGTTAGACATGTTGCCTCCCTTATTTTGCTGACCAAGCTAGTTGTCGCAACTACGAACGTTCATGCTACAGTCACTCAGAAACAGGCTTTGGACCTTCTGCTTAGCCACACTTCTGCAGTTTGGCCTGGGTCTCTTGAAAATGGCCACAGCCGGCAACACTATTCCAAACTTCCCTTCCACCTTGATTCCAGGTTTTTTCACAGACTTGCCCTATCCTCAACTGCTAATACTCCAATTTCTTCTCCACAAGCACCCTGTCCTACATTTGTATACCTAAATAGTCAGTCACAGAGGCTGAATACTATACAATCTCCTCCTTTCCCATGCTAGTCTAACTGGTTCTGTTAAAAAGAAAGAAAATATACTACCCCCCCACCAGAGCAATCCCATAATCTTAGTTTGTTTGTCTTTCCTCTATCCCTTTCTGATGTCTACACTGACCACAACAAGATATTAATAAACTATAATTCTGGCAGGAGAAGGTGTAGAGGGAGGAAGAAGACAGACACCTACACACTCCCAAATGAGTTCAATACTAGCATGAAGTGTGTGATTTGAAAGTTTTAACCTCTGATTAACCTGCACAACCTGGACCCTCACATCCCAGAGAGAACTCCAGCCAAAAGGCAGTTGATTTTGCTATAGTGGGTCTTGCATGTCTTCGTAAAAAATTTTGAAAGGTCTCATTTTCATTCCATGTCCAATGAAAACAAACTTCAAAACTGCAATTTTTCATGCAACAGAGTTGCTGTTTTCAAGCAAGCCCTATTCGCTACATAATGCATCTCTTGCCTATGGAATTATACACAAATGTTAAGCATACGAACATACGGAAGAAGACTACACTATTCCCGTTTAAGCTTTTATCTAGTATGGGAAAAGATCATGCACACAGGCAGTTACCACAGAGCAGCTAACACATGCAGCCCAGTTCTGTTTCTTCTTTGACAATCCCTCACAGTCGAAGACAATTATCTTCCATGATGGTCTTATTTGTGGGTCTAAAGATGGCTGATGAGACTAATCCAGGATCGACAGACTCTGCTGCAACTCAGGCACGTGTTTCCATGTGGCGTAGGCAGCTCCAGATTCTTGATTCAGTCCATGACACGCTGTTTCTGCTGCTCCCACTCTTTTTCATCTCCTGTTGTCATCATAAGGTATCAAAGCACTGAGACCCTTGCAGCAGACTTTTCCTCCATTTCAGGTGGTCCTAGGCAACATCTCCCACAAGCTGATGTCAATGTTGCATCTTTTCAAGTTGGCCTTGAGGACGTCCTTGAAGCAATTTCTCTGCCCTCCTCTTAAGCATACACCTTGACTGAGCTGGGAGAAAAAAGTTTGCTTTGGGAGTCTGGAGTTGGACATCCAAATGACGTGGCCAGCCCAGTAAAGTTGATGTCGAATGATCACCACCTAGATGTTCATGGTGCCTGCTTGAAAGGGGCCGCTGATGTTGCTGTGTCTATCTCCCCACTGGATTTGAAGGATCTTTTGTAGGCAGCGTTGATGGTACTTCTCCAAAAACTTGAAGCATCTCCTGTACACTGTCCAGGGACTGCTCATTAAGAGCTTGTTGATGGAGGACCTTAGCCTTCTGAACATTAAGAGTCAGTCCCACTTTCTCACATGCCTCGGTCAAGACATTAGCAATTGCCTAAATGTTTGCTTCCGAGTAAGCACAGACTACAGCATCATCAGCATACTGGAGCTTGATGATGGAGGTCAGGGTGGTCTTGGTTTTGCCTCAGAGTTGGCTGAAATGAAACAGTTTACCATCCATTCGATAGTTTGGCTCCACTCCTACTGGAAGTTTGTAGGTGGTCAGATGTAGCATCACAGTAAAGAATACTGAGAAGACTGTTGGAGCGATGATGCAGCCTTGCTTAACTCCAGTCATAACCTCAAAGGGGTCTGTGATAGATCCATTACTGAGAACCACCACTTACATACCATCATAGAGCAGGCAGAGAATGGTGACGAATTTCAGTGGGCATCTATTTCAGATGGATCCTCCACAGCACTTCTCAGCTGACAGAGTCAAAGGCTTTTGTGAGGTTAAAAAAAAAAAAAAAAAAAAAAAAAAGCTACGTAGAGAAGTTTAAGTTGTTCCTGACATTGCTCCTGCAGCTGGTGACCTGTGAAGATCATGTCAGTTGTGCCTCTTGATGCCCTAAACCCACAATGATTATTCCAGGAAGAGCTCTTCAGCAAGTGGTTCAGGAGGAATCTTGCAATCATCTTTACTGTGGTGGACAGCAAGGTGATCCCTCTGTAATTTCCAGTCGGACTTGTTCCACAGTCAGACAGCTTCTATTTCACCCATTAGGTGTAAAGTGGACTTGCATGCTTAAATTCAGTCCTATTTCATCCTGTTCTACTCCCTGAATAAGTGGCAATACAACCCCCTGTTTGTTTTCCCTCACTCTCTTCTTTTTGTGATTCAGTCTTAAGGGTTAAATGGAGACAGTATAAAAGTAGATACAGTAATGCAGGTATGGTCAACTCCCAGGCAGTGTCATCCAGCCTAGAGTGCTCCCTATGGGTCCAGAAGTTTGGTAGCAGGGGAATGGTGCCACTAGAATGAAGGTGCGACCACTCCCCCACCACCAAATTTCTGGACCCCTTTGAAGTCCAGGGCTCCATGTGCCGGATCTGGCACCTGATCCTAGCACATGGGGCTGAACAGGGGCAGTGCTGGGCCCCAGGGTCCTACCCCAGCACACAGGGGTGGTGCCAGGCCCCAGGGACCAATCCTAGTGTGCAGGGCTGGGACAGGATGTGCTGAGCCCCAGGGCTCAATCCTGGCATTTGGGGCAGGAAGGGGACAGTGCCAGGCCTCAAGGCCTGATCCTGGTGCTTCGTTCTCTGTCTGGCCCCCAGACCAGCACTACAGCATTCATCTGGCCCACAGGGCCAAAAGGTGAAACACCACTGCATTCAGGAATTTTCAGGGACATGAACATAAGTGGAACAGAATTGAACTGGCACCAAGTTCATTTAGACACCCAACAGGGGAAACAGGAACTGGCCCTTACTAAATTTCATTTCCCCTGTGGTAATTTGCACACATGCCAATTAGCCAGAGACCTAAGAATCATTTTCTGAATTTGCTTTTACCTTAAAAATCACTCTATAAATATCTTCTTAGAACAGAACTACCAGACTTCTCTTGAGCAGAGTGCCTGAACTCAAAAGGGGACCAATTTAAATCCAGTCTTCACAGAAGAGACAGGTGCTGCAGTCACCATCATTCCACTGACTTCAACAGAACTATGTGAAATTACACCAACCAAGCAGCTAGGGGTGAGTTTTCAAACCACCTGCAAGAAACTAGTCATCACTACAGAGAGTGTCATTCTAACGAACTGCTGAAGACAGCCCCCCACAGAATACACCTTACAAGAGATTAAATAGAAACTCAACTTCTATTAGTAATCCTCAGGCATTTGTCTGGTATATTGAAGAAGATGTGCACTTTTTCTCCAGAAAAATCAATTTAAAAGCTGAGGAAGTAGCAGACTTATTTCCAGTGTAAAAGAGCACTGAAAGTTATCTTGTGCAGGAAAGGAAGACTAGCAGTGCCTGCCAAAAGGTATGAATCTCTGTTGATGCTCTTTCACCCTTAACATCCTGTCTATCCCTCCCTTCCCTCCAGGAGCAAAACTCATCCAAAGAACAAGGTAAACAATATTCCCAGGTACAACCAGTTCAATAGGATTAGATGGATTATTTCTCAATTAAAAGTACTGTAAATCTGAAATGTCATGTCTTCAGCAAAGGGTTGGATAAAAAAAGAGGAGAAAGAGGATTTAGACCTGTTCCTCCTTTAGGAGGTAACAAAAATTAAAAGCCACAGGAAATTTTGAAAGAACAAATGAGCTTATTCAAATGTGATACAGAAGGCTTGTTTGCTCCAAGCATCCAAAAAACAGACTGGGCCTACTGCAAATCACCTGTTTACATATACTTGACCATCTGTAAGTATTGTGTAAGAATGCACCATCTAGTGGTGGAATATCTAACTGCTGCCTCTGGCTTGCCTGTCAGCCAGCTGTTTTAATAAAAGGTTGCTAACTCCTGCTTTAGTGGAAAGTGCAAAAAAAACCCAACAAAAACTATGGGAGGAGGGCAGATATGGGGAACATGTCATTTTCTAAAAGGTCTCCCAAAATGAGCAATTCAGCAGAATTTTCTAACAACTGTTTAGCTTCAGATAATTCTGGATATTCATTTTACCATATCTTTGTCTTCATAATCTTCTTAAGCTTTTGGTAAGATCTTCCAAGATGAAACTACTATATTTTTAACTTTTACTTCAACCAATTTATCAGTTAGCAAAATTTAAAATCTCTTATCTGGAGTAGTACACAAAGCTTTTTTTTTTTTTTTTGTTGCGTGGGGGTTTTTTAATACAGGTAAAACATTTGCTGTCCTCCAGGTTTAGTACCTGTTTAGTAGCAGTTTTCAATATTTTTCCTAATGCCTGGGTCACTTCATACTTAAGGTATTTCTGAATTTTTGGACTAATACTATCAGAGCCCCATGAGTTCTTTAAATTTTCAATTTGTTCCAAAATGTCTTATGACAGTGATAATACCACATGTTTATAACCAAGGATAAAATTTTTTTAAAAAGACCTTATTTTGGTATCTGCACAATAGATAGCATCTGTTGATGCAGAGCAACTATCTAGATCCTCAGAATCTGTAGCATTCTTCCCTTTAACCTCTGGTGACCCAAAGAGCCCCACCAATCCTTTCTGCTAACTCAAAGATTGTCTTGTTTGTAAACTTCTTTACCCTTGTAACTGACATCCCATAATTTGAGTTTCAGCTTCCATACTTTAAAAGGATTTCAAGTTGACCTGAATCCCTCAAATCTTTTCATGTAGCAATACAGGTACTCCTCACTTAACGACCTACCTGTTTAACGACTGCGCGGACTTACGACCAGCTCTCCTTAGAGTCGTAGAGCTGGTCGGCAGCACGGCGTCTCAGCAGCGCGGCGTCTCAGCGTCAAGCTGAGGGGGACATGGAGCTGAGCCCGGCACCCTCCAGCGCGGCATCTCAGCAGCGCGGCATCTCAGCATCAAGCTGAGGGGGACGTGGAGCTGAGCCCGGCAACCTCCAGCTGGCTCCGCGAACCCACTATGGGGGAGAAGCATCCACCCGGAGGGCAGCGGCCAGGACTCTCCGCCATGGCCAGCGCCTTCCCGTCCCCGGCTGTTTCCCTGGGGGCCGACTGCAGTCAGTAAGGGGCGGCTCCTCACTTATCGACCAATTCGCTTAACGACCGAGTCGTAGGAACAGAGCTCGGTCGTTAAGTGAGGAGTGCCTGTACTGGTTTACTACTAGCTTTCCTGATTCTATTTTTTATTAAGCAATATATGCATCTTATAAAACGAAGCAAACCTACTGAAGGCTTTCCACCTTATCTACAGTATGCTCGCTAACTAAAGTGAAAAGTGCTTGGATGAACAATAGTATTTTTCCCTTCCGTATTTCACTGTACCCAAGAAAAAATAATCCAGAAAAATATCCCTTACCATTAGTAAATTAATCCAGTTTAGGAGTTCTTTATATATCAAAGAATTATTAAAATTCACGTAACTCACTCTAAACTATTTTAAAACTACTCCCTTTAATATCTGCAAGTCATTTCCCTAGCACACCCTCCCCGCACTTCCTCCCACACAAAAAAATAGCATTAAGTCATTGACAGGACAGGTATCAGTCAGTATTTACAACTTCAGCAGAATCAGAGACTGAATCACTATAGATTAACCCAGGAAAATGTTATCAAATGTAATTACAAGTGACTTATGTTTTAATGTAAATGAAAAAGGTTACCTTATTTATTATAACACGAACTTCACTTGCAAAATCACGTGAACATATTTCTAAATGAAAAATCTTCCCACAATTTGATACACAGGCTCCTAACAGCTGAAAACAGAAATAACATTGTGGGGGAAAAATTAAGATGGCAATAAAAGTTACTGTCCACAATACAAATACATATTGCAAAAGAATAAGGGCCAAATTCCACTCTTGGATAAGCACACACACAACTCCATCAGCTGTCCACTAGAATTGCATACAAGTATTCCTGGACAGAATTCAGCTATAATGACTTCTTGAGTACATAAAGATATACATATGTCAGTTTGGTAAAATAATAGTGCATAGGCTACTTACTGTTAGTGCTTGTAATGCCACATGTGGGACCTTATGATTTACCCTTTTCATAATGGCTTTAAGGCAATCTTTTGCTCTAGAAGACAAAAAAGATTTCAGTGGTACAGAAGTATACTTCAAGCACTACTGCTACAAAATAGGGGTGCACCAATAAAGATTTCTTGGCCAATACCAATAGTCAATATATTAACCAGTCATATTGGCCAGTACTGATCCAATAACTGATATTTTGTATATTTAGCACCATTTCTAAGCGTGGAGAATGCCGATGCAGTAGACACGGCAGCACTAGTGGTTCTGGGAGCCACTGTAAATAAAGTGTTACCCCCTTACTCCCGGAGCCCATGTAAAAGTGTCCACGCCAGTTGCAGCAGGCAAGGCTAGCCTAGTAGTGGCCTACACCTGTCTGTGCAGGGCCGTTTGGCCCCTGTCCTTCAATCCCAACCTGGGGGCAGCTGCCTGAGCCTGCCTGGCTGCCCAGGGCTGGGTGGTCTCTGGGCCAGGCTCCCGCTCTCATCCCTCTGCCCAGGGCAGGACCCAGCTGGCCTAAGGACCCTGGCTGCACACAGCAGTGGGAACGAGCAACTGCCCAAGGTGGTGAGTAGCCACAGGGGTCAGCTTCTGATGGCTGCTGCCAGGGCAAGGGGAACGGAGTCTCCCTCAAGCTCCGTTAGATGGCAGTGTGCACATGACCCAGGGAAAGTGGGGTTGCAGGGGAGTTGCTGTCTTCCCCCTTCTCCTTCAGAGCCCTTGTCCTGCTTCTTGCCGCCGGGCCATAACAAGGGCTTGGTTGCCAACATTAGGGCAAGGTGGGCACAGCGCAGTTTGTAGAGGGGTGCAGCTGTGGGGCGCCTCATCCCCCATTAAGCAGCACCTACCCCAGTGCCTTGGATGCAAGACAAGCCCCTCCCCCACAATGTGCATGGGGGGAAATAAGTGATTCATATAACCCATTAGGAGTACTTCCAACTTTGTCACATATATCCATAATAAGGCCCCAGTCCTCACTGGTATTATATTCATTTGTTGCCTCCTCCACAATAACCCCTCCTCTCAGATTCAGGTTAGGGAGGAGGCCAGGCAGCTTTTGTGGCTCCCACACCAGGCCTGAGCCCAGGCTGGGGCCAGTCAGACCCACAGCAGCTGCTTGCCACCCCACCCTGCACCCTCTGCCCACACTGGTGGCAAGCACAGCCAGGCACAAAGCACATGGGACTCCACTGCTGCTGTGCGCCATGGGAGGGGCTGTGCCTCCACATGCTGCTATGCTCTGGGAAGTGACCAGAGCCTGAGAAGCTTGGCCCCGGCCAAGCTTTGCCACCTGCCTCTGGGGCAAAGACCCCCAGGCACTGTGGGTTGAGTCACACTGGGCTGGATTGGGCAGCTCAGCTCCACCCACCCCTCCCCTCCCCAGTCACATCTGCAGTATTCACCACCTTTTACAGCCCCTGCCCCAGCCCCAGCCCCAACCTGCAGTCTGTGCTATGCCACTGCCCAGTACACCACGGCAGCTGCTCCACTGCAGCCCAGCTCAGCCCACCGATCAGGGGATGAGGGCGTGCATATCCAGGGGCCCCAGAAAGAAGGCATAAGTATCAGAGAACATTATCAGCTACAATGGCCAAAAAAGGCCAATAACCAATAACGTAAATTTCCCTTTTATCAGTGCCCATTTGATAGGCAACTGATAGGCATCTCTACTACAAAATTCAAAACCAACACAGAGGCTAAATTCAGCAGTTACATTTGACCTTTACAAGACGACTGAAATTACTGACTATGCTTATATACGTTAAATTTAATTTGGAACCTGGCCTTTTTTTCCTTGTTGCCCTCTATCCATACCGCCCTTCCCTCCCCCACATACAACTACCTACGCAAAAACTTTGCCATAGTTAACTTTCCCCCTTGAGTAGAGAACTAGCTTTGCACAATGAAGTTAGTTCCACTTTCTCCTTCTGACTTAGATGCTTCAGGAACTTTATGCAAGGCTATCTTAACATGAATAGCTCATTTTACTGTGTAATGCTGCATAAAATTGAAGCAAGTCCAGCATACATCAATTATCCTGCTGGAAGTTTTGCTGGAAAACAAAAGCTTCAAACTTCTTCTCAGCAGGTTTTAAAGCCAACTGTGCAGATCATTAGCACAGTTTATGAATATTTTAGGTCAATATTTCTGCAGAGCCGACTCTAAAAAGGATCTTTGGGAGCTTCATTCTTGTAACAGCATCCATTTTTTAACTGAATATGAAATTCAACATTGCAAAGATGAGCTACATCTTACCCATTAGGAGTACTTCCAACTTTGTCACATATATCCATAATAAGACCCCAGTCCTCACTGGTATTATATTCATTTGTGGCCTTTTCTGTAAAGAAAAAACAAGACATGCATCAAATTTGAGTTCAAATTTTAGTGAACAAATATAAACAGCAATGCTCTGTATATGAATAACTGAGAACAACAATGTCTTTTCCTAGACTAATTGTAACATTTGCTAATTTCTAAAAGTTTTATGGTGTGCATCAGAAAACCTACTACTCCATGTCATGACCCAAAGGCATGATTTTGTGTGTGCTTCGGCACCAGAATTATCCCCGCCAGGTAACAGCTTCATTGCACGGGAGAGTTCCTATTGCAGAGGAGAACCCCGGTGCAAGGACGAGCTTCCCGCCTCTTTGCAGCTTCTTTTGCAGGGTGCATTGCTCAAGTTGCAAGAGAAATGCAAAAGAGTTCCCGCCACCCGCATGCAAATTCGTTCCCCGCTATTGGCTAGTTTTAAATTATTCCCACATGGTGGCTAACGATTGGCCTGTTAGCCGCATAAGAGGCTTGAGCAGTTTCCGCCCAAGCCGAAGAGGACTCCACATCCATCTCATGGGGACTCTGGATACACGGCAGGGTAATAGAGACCCTGTGTGAGATTCAGAGGAGCTTGGCGACCTGATCCATCGCCCACCTCTTCCCGTCTTCGAGCGCAAATTTTATAAGACGTATCTACGATTTCGATTTTGGTGGCGCGTTCACCCAGAGCATCCGGAGCTCTGTTCCGTGGAGCCTAGCAAACTCCACGTGACCGTTCATGTTGTCTGTGTCTGTAACTGCAACTCAAGCAAGTTTTCCAGCCTACACCACTACCATCTCTGGTGTAAGTAAACAATCTTTAAATCTACCATTAAGCGTCTGTGCCTAATTCCAGCTCGTCGCCTGCCCTCTCCGATCCAGTGTGCCCAGGCTGCTGGCCACAGCCCGCGTGCAGCATGGAAAAGGGCCCGGATCGCTCCCGGCCCGCACACTCCACACACACTCTATATTATGGCACAAGACTAACAACTCTGATTAGCACTTAAGAGCCAAAAAGCAAACAACAGACTTTAAAGAGGTAGTGGTTACATTATGAAATATATACCGCACTCTGCACTTAATTACTGCAAATTTAGGCTAAAAATGATTCCTAAGACCATCCATACAATGTATAATATATTTAATTTGATATTTAAGATGCAATTTGCTATTTAGATTCTACTCAAGGATATCATCAAGTTTATATATAATACAATCTAAAAGATAATTAAAAGTATTTTCACTATGTACCTTCAATATTTTCCTCGAATGCTAGCTTCTCCTCACTCAACTCCTTAATGCACACCTTGCCATGAGGCCTTCAATGTTAATTTAAGAGAACATAAACGAAAATGATACAAAGAATATACAAATTGCTCTATGTAGTCTTTTCTTCATAAAAAGCATTTTTGTATCTAGCATTTATTATGCCACTCAATCCACTGGCCTCTAAAGCCTAATGTAATTTAGTTACATACTCCCTATGTATTAAATAGTAAGATTTGGTGGTAGGGCCACGTTACTGAGATCATATAATAATATATGGCTATGACAAAAATAATCCTTAAATAGCAAATTAAATATAGTATATTATATGGATGGTCTTAGGAATCATTTTTAGCCTATTACAGTAAAAAGCAAATATTATTTATAATATTCTCTAAGTATTCACAGATAACTGGTTAAGCTCTTTCACAAAACTTTGGAACTTCATTATTTTTCATAAATGGGGCTGGTGGTTTCAGAAAATCTATAGGGCCCAGCTGCAATAAGAGAAATCACACAATCCATAGTATCCCACATTTTAAAAATTGTTTTACAAGTGAAAACAGAACATGATAGCTCACTAAGTCTCTCAGCCTGTGTTAGCGTCCTGTAATGGCAGCTGTTCAGAGTGCAAGTTTGCCAATAGCGATACCACTACAGCATAAAGCTGATTAGAAGGCTGTAATTAGGTTACTTCTCTGACAGCAAGCTTCACTGCTCAGTACATTTTGGGATACACTGGAAACCACTTTTCAAGCAGCTCAGTCAGGAGTTGGGGACTAGATTCCACAAAGAAGTCAGAGAAGTAGCAACCAAGAGGATTGCTGGAAACCTTATGATGTGAACACACAGCTGGATTTAGGTGGAAACATTCAAACCTGAGGTGATGCCCCGATCATCTGTACTACAAGCTAGACTAGCTCTTTTGGGGAAGCTGGGACAGTCTAAAACAGGACTGTCCAACTGCCATCTTACAGGCTGAGGGGTCAGTTTGCAGCCCCCAGGCTCCCACCCAGCTGTTGCTCTGTCCATTGCTCTTGTGGCCCCCCCACAATACTCCAGCTTCGTACCGGGAAGGGGCCAGACTGCTCATGCTGCATGCTCAGAAAGAGAGGGAGGGAGCCAGGCTACCGGCCAGGTATACACAAAAGGGAAAGGGAGTGGGGTCCTGCGCACATGTTGGAAGGAGCTGGGCTGTACATGCAACCAGAATGAGGAGAAATTGGGGGCCCGGGGGGGAATGGGCTAGATACATGGCAGGAAGGGATCTCAGGGAGAGGGCATGCAGTCTCAAGCGGACCAAGGTGTGCAATCCCCAGGTCTGTATCCAGCACTGCATACATCCAGGAAGTTGGACAGTTCTTATCTAAGACATATTCCAACCCTGATGCTGCCTTAAAAAAAAATTTAAAAGGCTGTTTGGAGAAGTCTTTACTACTAGAGATAAAAATGCCTGATAAAGACATTAGCAAAAAATTCACATACAAAACTAAACTAATTGAACTTTGAAAACAGTAACCATGTGTTCAAAAGTTTTCCCTAGTTAAGGTTTATCTTTTAAACTTGTTTTAATATATTGGGACATGGTCTGAAAAAACTTAATGTTCATGAATGCAATGAAGAAAATACTTTCCTGGAACTAAATATACATCATATGCAAAGAACTGCCACAGACCCTTGGTTCAGTCTAAGCTGTAAAGCATTGCTGGTAAAAGATGCCTTCACATGTCATGCCACTGCATGAATTTACACCCAGTTTTGAGTCCTCCAAGTCTCAGTACTTCCTCCCTCCCTCTCAAATTATAACTAAGCCACCCTCAGAATGACATGTCTTTTATCAAAAAATGCAACATAAGCTGTAAAATAAAAATGCACCACAGCTCTTGTGATAGTAGCTAGTCTCAAATCTAGTCATGAGTCTGAATACCATTGTCCAGGATTGCTATGTCCAACATTCCCCTTCCTCAGCATGTTTTGTACATGTCTCTTCCTACTTGTTAACTCCTGCAGGGTTTTTACTCATTTTTCTTTGTGGGCCCTGACATCTTTTAACCCTCTTGACCCTCCTTTCAGCCTCTCCACTTTCCTTTGTATGGCAGCCATGCAGGTGAAGTCAAAAAAGAGAAGAACTGACTTTTTAAGCATTTGAAAAACACGTACTTGCAGCTAAATTGGAAAAGTACAGTAAATTATGACATTTTGGCAGCAAAGTGAAGTTTCTACTAACAAATCAATTCATTGTCAGCAGAAACACATACTAAAAAGCAACACCTCGGCATAAAAATAAAATGCACGGGAAGTTTCAAATAATCTCTGCAAGCAATCCAATAACATGTCTGGTCAGACCACACGATCTTTAAGAGTAAAGTGCACCTGTAGAACAAACATTGCAAAATAATGTATTCTGCTTTTCAAAGCAGAGGACAAATATCTGAGCAGAACTTTTAAGATATTTTTTGACACTTCCTGATATTCACATGAAATGCAGCCTTGTTTCACTCGCTGCAGTAAATGCTACTCCAGTGAGTACACCTGCTTTGAACAGCAGGACTCCATACAAGCCAGTACAACCTCAAGCAGCTGCCCTATTTCAATGTCTGTCATCCTTATATGCACACCCAAGGTTACCCAAAAGCCCCTCACACTCACTCCTTGTGACTATAGGCTTTTGGTAGTATTCCACATACTACTCAGCATTCAAGGAACTGCAGAGCGATTCTGAAGCTTACCTAACCCTATACATATTTATGAAGACCCTCACCTTTAAAGTTTTAGGGGGTTGGTTACCTTTTCCTTTCCACTAACACACAAAATCTAACAATGTCTGTTTTTATGTACATAAACAGCAAGCTCTGAAGAGGTATCTTTGAGAGGTACCCCTATCTACACCTGCTCAAAGACTGACCTTGATAAGCATATAAGGGCACAATTTCCCACTTCTTCAGCACTTATAATGGCCAAGTAAACAGCTATGACAACACATACACTGATCTTCCATTAATGCAGGAACAACCAGAACCCCTAAACTTCAAGTTTCAATATGTTTGTGAAAAATTAAGTTTATTCCTTTTTTGCTGCTAAATGTTTTAAAGCAGGATTCATGGGTCTTAGAAATCAAAACACCTCCCAAGTTCATAACAATGCATTTACAAATACATTGCATTTCAGAAATTAATGGCAAAATGGCTGCCCACACTGTATGTCTTTGACAAAGCAGGGAACTACACACCAGCGAGGAACACTGATGGCAGCACTGTTGAACGCATCAATCATTTATGATGAGGCAGAAAAGCAATGTGGGTCCAGTAAATGATCACTGCACACAAAATAGTTTTATTGCAAAACTGCCATTATCTTCTGAAACATCTTCGTAATTTCAAAACTAATTTCAATCCAAGAACATTAAGGATTAGACAAAAGCAACACAAAGTGATACTACGGAAGACTGCTAACATTATCTTTTACAGACTCCCCCAGATCTCTAGCAACTGCCCTTCTGTTTAGCTGTACCAAGTCAAATTCTTCACAGCTCACTATCAGTAGTTCTACCCACTTCACCAAGACAACTTGAAGAAATAAAAGTAGGAGTAAAAGGACAGTGATGCTGGGGCCTGGGCCTATCAACGCTGCAACTCCAGCACAGTGAATACTCCTCTCTAGAAAAGCATCTCTGCTGGCATTTTTGTGCAAAGTCCTATATTTCCAAACATGAAAACATCCTGGTGGATTTTCCCAGACCTGTATCAACAGTCAATCCCA